AGAAGTAGTGTTGGTCTCATCGTGATAAATACGATCTCATAACTATTTTTATCTGTTAGTTTTTAGAACTGCTTTGTTATGAGAATATTACAGAGGCTGCACTAAAAGTATCGGGAATGGAATATTTCCACTGTTCCTGTCATATTAAAATCATTTTAATTGAAAAGTCCTTGGTTTTAAAAATCGAATACCATTTACTTATTTAAAAAAAGATTCTTAGCACAAGGTTTTATCAAACTTGTTTAGTCGTTGAGAAAATGGAATTGACTCGAGAAAATTCAAGAGCGATGATTTATTATGACTTTCGAAGTGGTTTGACACAAAAACAGTGTGTTGACCGGATGATTTCTGCATTTGGGGATGAAGCCCCATCGAAAACCACAATTTATCGCTGGTTTGCTGAATTTCAACGTGGACGTGTCAAGCTCAGTGATGATCCCCGTCAAGGTCGTCCAAAAACTGCAGTCACCCAAGAAAACGTTGATGTTGTGCGTAAGCTGATTGAGGAAGATCGACATGTGACATACCGCAAAATTCAGGCAACTTTAGACATTGGCATGAGTCAAATACAAATAATCTTGCATGAAGAATTAGGTGTAAAAAAGTTGTTTTCCCGATGGATACCGCATTCGCTCTGTGAAGAGCAAAAAGCGGCTCGCGTTACTTGGTGCGTCAGAACTCTCGAAAGATTCCACGTAGGATCCTCAAATGCTGTATACAACATCGTATCAGGTGACGAATCCTGGATATACGTGTACGAACCCGAAACAAAAACCAGTCACGAGTTTGGGTGTTCGAAAATGAGTTAAAGCCAACAAAAATTGTTCGTTCACGGAGTGTTGCAACGTTTGTCTCCAAAACCGGCCATGGTACGACTATTCCTCTTGAGGGACAAAGAACGGTTAATGCAGAATGGTATGCTAGCATTTGTTTGCCACAGGTCGTTTCTGAACTCTGTAAAGAGAACTGCAACCGCCGCATCATCCTCCATCACGACAATGCGAGTTCTCACACCGCACAGAACAAAAGAGTTTTTAGAGCAAGAAAACATAGAATTATTAGACCATCCGCCGTACAGCCCCGACCCAAGTCCTAATGATTTCTATACTTTCCCTAAAATACGAGTAAAGAATAAATTACGTGGACAGAGATTTTCATCACCTGAAGTAGCTGTGGACGCCTACAAAACGGCCATTTTGGAGACCCCCACTTCCGAATGGAATGGTTGCTTCAATGATAGGTTCCATCGTATGGGAAAATGTGTCAAATTTCGCAGAGAATACTTCGAAAAGCAATAAATACATTTTTAAATAGTAATGTTGCGTCCTTGATTCCCGAAATTTTCAGTGCCGCCCTCGTATTAGCGTGGTCTCATGTAAGAGTTTTAAATGATAAGCTTAAGTTATTACGCTAGGCGTAGTACAAAAACAACTATGTTAATTATTTACAACTATGTTACTTTTCTGTCCCAAAGATTGTAAGGTCTAAAATATATTTTTTAGGAAAACTAGACCTTAAAATATTTTAAATGGGCTATGAGCTAGTTAATAATATTCGTAGTTTTCAAAATAGCATTATAAGATGTTAAAAGTATAATTTCCAGAGACTAGTAAAAAAATACGGTTTGTTAATGTATCAAAAGTAACAGAGTTGTTTAAGAATTTATTTAAATAAATATTAATAATAGTTTGAAACATGATTCTGCATGTTTTCAAAAGATTTTAGACTATAATTAACAATAATTCCAAACAACTTGCGATTCAAGTGTTCGTTATAAAAATAAAAGAAAATTTGCATTGATAACAGAGTAGTATTTAATTTCGCCTCCAAACATAAAGTCTGAAAAAACCTCAAAATTCCTAAAAAAACATCGTGACCAACAACAGTACATTAAAATTTAATGTATATAATAGTCAAATATAAATGAAAAAATGATATGGCAATAGTTTTAAGAAAAAATCTTTTTAGGATTTAAAGTAAGGAAACCCTACAGAAAATTTGAAAATGGCCCATTTAAAATAGCGAAGAAAAATTAATTAAAAATATCTCAAAAATTCTGTCTTCTTTATCTTTTATATCAAAATAAGTGGTAATGCCTTATTATAACCGATTGTCATTCATAAATACTATTAAATATAGTATGTTCGCTTTTATTTTGTTATAATATACATTAATTATATAAATTTGTTGTAATGATTTATTATCCCGTGAGTTATCATGACTTTTTACATAGAAGTCTTAAATATTTTTATGTACTTTCCTTTTGTAATCAAGTAATAAATAAAACTCTCTCAGAAATAAGAGAAGGCCCGTGCCCAGCTGTTGGACGTATATAGGCTGTAACTATAATTAGCTTTTAATTAATAAAAGCATCAAAATAAGTCGCATAATGAGTTATAGAACTTTTTATCTCATTATTCCATTTAATTGTAAACTTTTAAAATAAGAAACACGTATTAGTCAAAGTGCACCCAGCATGGGTACTATAGTCTACGTCTTCAATAATTGCTTCCTTTGCGACGTTATTTAAAGTAATTTGTGTAGTTTATATAAAACACAGATGACACGCGAAGCAAGGTTTATTTCTTTGAAATCATTTTAGAAGCTACAAGCCTACAAGATGATTTGTTTGATGTCCTTGGGTTTCGCAATTTTAGGTAAGAAACATTATATTTTAGATTTTTTTGAAACATCTAACAAGTTACTCAATAATATAATAATAAAACAATACCAAGTTAATCTTTTTTTATTTTTAAATTTACATTTTAACGTTGATAATTGCTAGTAATTTTTTTTCAACAAATATTAGCGGCCTTTGTTATAATCGTTAATTATCACTTATATTCACATAAATTCACTTATATTAAGTATAAATTTCTCTATAATTATTGCAACATTGCAACTTTATGCATTTCTTGAATTGATATCGACTTTTATGAGTAAAATGACGTATGTTATTTTTTATTGTTGTTTTTATGACTTATAGTGTTATTTCATTATTTTGTGCATGGACAAGTAATACTTAAAATATCCTACAGATTGTATGTAGGCCTCCTTTGTCACTTACTCGTAACAGTTGGTCTGGGTTGATACCATATTACGAATTTCTGCAACCACTGCTTTAAGGTGTCAGTTTTTGTCTCATCCCCTGTTGCGGTAACATCACAGGCGTAAGTAGGGTGGGGGCAACCAGGGCACGCGCCGCGGGTACCTTTGCAAAATAACCAATTATTAAATTTAAAAATCAAAATAAACCACAATAAACCAATTCATATCAAACAATCCTTTCCGCGATTACTGCACTTTGCGAATTACCGAAAGGGAATGAGTAGTGTGGGCAGGCAGTGCACTTGCACGTTCGAATTCGACACGAATTTGGAACTCGAGCTAAAAGTTTTCGGGCCTTTGCATGCACGATGGAGACGGAGCCTTGACTTCATTAGACGTAACCTCTCCAACTTCACGTTTAGATTTAGTGTGCCTCTCACCATTCGGTGATCGCTGCCAGTTTTTACCCTCGCGATCATTGAGACATCACTGAACAGTTGTCGTCTGGTCGTCGTAATGAAGTCTATCTCATTTTTGGTCGAACCGTCGGGGCTCCACTTCCTGTGGGGCCGCTTCTAGAAGAAAGAATTCATCATAAAGAGTCCCTCTTTCTCCCTGAAATCGGACATCTGCTTGCCTCTTGGTTCCGTTAAACTATCCTAAATTTCCCTACCTTCAGCTTACTATTCTCTCTTGTGCCTAGTTTTGCGTTGAAGTCTCCCATTGACATCGTATTGTAGCTTTGGAGGAATTCATGGCTCTAGAGATATCCTCATACATTTCCTCCACTTCCTTATCGGGATGTGCCGAGGTTGGTACGAAAACCTGTATGACCTTCAACAAATACCGTTTGGTAATTCTCGATATAAGATACTCAACCCTCGACTACGAGAGACTTGTGGACGATAATGACGTCCGCCCTTTGTATTCTTTTAGGTTAAGGAATGCAATAAAGAATAAATAAATAAATAAATAAATAAATGACGATCCTTAGGACAGATGGTAGCCCTCCCAGTGATAAAACAAGTTGCTGGATTCGAGGATTACCGTCTCCGCGCTGTTTCTTCGGACCTCAGATAATCCTATAATATCCATGCGCAACTTGTCTATCACTTCTTCCACCCCCAGGATCTTCTCGTCAGTCCTTAGGGTGCGTTCGTTGTATGTTACCAGGTAGAGCTGTCTTATAGGTGGTAACCGAACCTCCACCGGAGATTCTTAGCACCCCCAGCCCCGCCGTTACAATGGTCGCCACCGTAGCCAGGAATAGCTGGGCCAGCGGAGACTGGGGACCGTATTTTTGTAACTCTCACCAATATACCCCGTATTGTCAAAGTTGCCACGCTTGGCGAGTGGGTTGGCAGTCGTAGTTTTCTTAATGTTATTTCGCTGTTATAAGAAAGATGCTGCTGCCCATCTCCTGCCTCAGTTTCCCTCTGTCGCCTCCGACGACACCCACGGGATGATATGGGGTAGGAATATTCTTACATCGCCACTACAGGGATTACATATTTATTAGTATTTGGAAATGGGTAGCAGCGATTTCCTAATAACGACAAAAAATAAAACTGCGGTTGCCAACCTAGGCATATTAGGCAATCTATGGGGAGGTCTATGTTCAGCAGTGGACTTTGATAGGCTGTAACGGTAACGGTAACGGTAATCAATATGCTTTTAAATTAATGTTTGTAGAATCTTTAACTGCAAGTTAACTTTTAGATTGACCAGTTAAGCCCATAAATTGTTATAAAACATCCCTTTTTGTTGTGAAAGGCCTAGAATATAAGACATCTGTTGATATGTAGTAAATATAAAAACAAACAGATTCTATAAGCAACAATTTGATTTCTTCATAAACGGATCTGATTAAGGCTGTTACTAAAATATTAAAACATGGTTTATCTTATCTATTTTAAGTTGCATCTGATATTGGTCAAGCTCTGAGTTCAAAAATGGATTTTGGCGATGAACAAGAATCAACTATAGTTGCGACAAATTCAAGCAAAGAAAACGATGATGTGGAAGTAAAGCACACGATTGTTGTTTCAACGAAATTAAAAAATAATAATAATAGAAGAGGTTTGCATACTTCCCGAGATGGTAAGAATTTTTCCGATGCGCTATTCGTTTTTAATTGCTATTAAACACACAAAAGCATTAGGCTACTTAAAATAAATAAAAATCAAAACCAGGTCAACCAAAAATGCCTCTAATTATAACTAAATGGCGTCTGTGGATTGTTCCACAGATAGTAATAATAAACAAGTGGTTTTGAGATTATTTCTTATGCACTAAGAATTGACGATTCAATATCCAAAAAAATATAGAAACACATATTTATATCCATAAGTGTGGCTTATGTTAGCTCATATAAAATACTTATCTTACCCTGCTGGATTGAAACATTTGTATTTCTCATTTGTTTCTAATTGCCAATATTATATGTATATTGACATCGTCAAGCACGATTATAGTATCTTTAATATTACAGTCATTCGAATCTTCGAGAGACGTTTGTCTATCTGTGACTATCATGCTACCACTATGTTTAATTACTACAAAGAAATTGTATTATGTATCGAATTCGAATCTAGAATTGGCAGTTCAATAACAAAGTTGACAGTGAAGTAAATCGCACCTTTTTATTCATTATTTATTTCTTTATTGCATTCTCATAAGATAAAAATTTCTAAGGGAGAACCTTTTACTAATATTTGGTCCTTCTCCAACTGGTAATCATTCCACTGCTGGAAATAGGCTTTCCAATAGAAAGAAAGGATTGTTCTCCAATAGAAGAAAGGGTTAGTGATCGCAGTGTCAGACTTCCTTGCCAGCTTTACTAGAACAAAGCTGAGTATTCCAAATATGTCAGTTGCGAACCATCTATTGATTTAAATAGATATCAAACAAGCTGTTGGTTCTTTGACATTTATAGCAATTTTCATAGCCGCCTCTTATGATACGCATGAAAGAGACAGGCTGAAATATTATATTATGCCGTCACCACACGTTTTACGGCTAAAATTTTTCAATTTCATTTACAGATGGTGGTCCTGTAGCACATACATTTAGTCAAGGTAGGAATATAAAAGAAGAAGATAGCGGGGAAGTCCCTGTGATGAAAGGTTACAAAGCAGTGGAAACTACAAAAATATTAACGCCCGATACACGTCTGAAATCACCAGTTAGTTCTGTGAACGGTTATACAAGGTACAACGCACCAGACGAATATGATATCTATCCAAATATAGTAACGAATCCAATGCAGTTTAAGCCTTCAAATTTTTATAACAACATTAATTGGGGGAATCAACAAAGCTCAAGAAGTTTTAACAATTATAATAGGAGAAATGATAGAACGGGTTTTCCAAATGTTCAACAATCCGGCTTTCATAGGAGTATATCTGATGACAGCGTTAGAGATTTTTATTGTAAGAAATGTAGGGAGCTAGGTGGAATGCAAGATTTTAAAGGATGTATACAGCAACGAAGTAATCCTTGGTATAACGAGAATACAACTCCGAAGATCAAGATAGACGGCAAATTAGTGAAATTAAACTAATCGAGTCATTATTTCGTTCGACATGCCGTGACCGCAGCAGTAGGTAAAAACATGTCGGAGATGATATCTAAGTAACCTTGAGGAAATACAGACATTGCTTGTATTTTTAAAAGTTCATTGTCGTCTGAAATTTAAAACGAAGCACAGCTTTTACCTAAATTTACTGATTCGATGTAGTATAGACTTAAAATAATATCTTCCAAAAATATTATCGAGTTCTTTGCAGTGTAAGAAAAATAAAACATGAACTTTTTTAACGCCAAGATTTAATATATATTTACAAATGCATCTTTTTTATTAATTTAATTTATACAAAATATGCCTAAAATATCTAAATGAATAAATTAAATACTTTTTGGAAGTACCAAAAGTTTCACCAAGGTTCCACCAAAATGTTTACATCAAAGGAAAAGGTATAAAACATATAAATGAGTGGCGTTTAAAACTACCCTACTAATCCTGGTTATCGCACAGTCGTTTAACTATGTACGCTATATTTGGTAACTTTTCCATTGTCATTGACAATCGTCTCGGCGGCTCGTTGGCTTTGTAATTCACCATTTTTGTCTACAGATGAGGAAACCGCTGAACTGGAGACACTGTAGAAATGATTGTCCGCGCCGTTTCTGCTACCCGGATTTTGGCTAAATTTCCTTACGTTCGGTGATTGCTGAAATATTATTCAATTAAATATATGCGTTGAATTTATGTATGGGTTCGCGAAGTGTATATTTTCTTTGGTATGGGTAAATGATTGGCAGAGGCATTGCGGGTCGCAGGTTTAATTCCCGCTTGGAATAAATATTTCATCCATCCATTAAAGCCTATAAAAGTCCACTACTGAACATAGATTCTCCCTCATAGATTGCCTTGTAGCCACGCTTGGAACCGCAGTTTTTTATTATTCTGAGTTGTTATAAGGAAAATGCTGATGCTGTTGTCTCCTGTTTCAATTTCCCTCTGTCGCCTCTTACGATACCCACGGGACGATATGGGATAATTGGTATTCCATAGAACTAGGACGTATAATTCTTCCGTGTCTGTTTATTGTTTAGTGCAATTTATATATGTATGTAACCAGTATTTACGATACAAGAGAATTTTCTAGTGTAATCTTATTCTAGTTAACTACTAAATAAACTACTAAAATCAGTTAACGTCAGGGATTCTGCGTTCTATGTATATACAAAAAAAAAACAGTTATATTGAAATCCTTCTGCGTCTTTAGTCGACAAATTTCGTCTGTTTCATATCATGTTGCCTAGTTGCTAACATTCAAAGACCCTTCTAATCGAAATGGAAAAGAAAGTAGAGTAATTCATAGTTTTTTTATTTATTATACAATATGAACTTCAAATTTAATTGCATACTAGCTGGTAGGTAGGTGCGCGTTGCTGCCGCAGAAGAAATAATTGCGATAATTTCGTTTTAAGTTTGGAAGAATTATTTAATTAGGAATGATAATATATTCATTGAAATTGAATGATATATAACTTTCAAATAAATTTGTCGGTAGTCGGTACGATACGCGCGCCACCTACTGTAAGTTTATTGTACTATGTCTATAAACTTCGCGCAAGTGCAAGCAATAAGTTGACAAATTTTTACCGCAATTTTACCGCAATGTGATAAACGGTATGGCAGCGCATAAATACGAACAAACAAAATTAATTTTTATATATTAGATTGGTCTTCCATTGTGTTGTTAGTTTATATTATTGCGTGTTTTCATTGTTTTGACTAAATTTTTCTTGTTATACTTACCGGGTTCGAGGGATTTATGGCGGCTTCCTGCTGCTTAAATCCGGGTCCGACGGCTCCATATGCAAAGGCATCGTAGGGCGTATTTTGTCCCGACATATCAAATGGTTTGCGGTTTCTGGATCCAAAATAATTGAAATGATTGTGTTGTGGGTACCTAAAGTCGAAAGTTGGAATGTAAGGAAATTCGTTAAAAGGACCGTACGAGTTTTGTGCGGCTTCGAACACTGCGCGTTGTTGGTTTTCAATGTTAGCAATTACACCCCTGTAATACAAAATAAATTAACTCACACTCACACAAACTATTAGATACAAATTAATGAACCAAAGCGAGTGAAAGCAAGTGAAGTTACTAAGAGTTTCGCATGAAAAATATATTAGTCAAATCAAATATAAATTCTATCTATCTTACTTTAACTATAATCTAACCTTTGCCTTTTTAACTGGTTGATAAATAACCGAGGAGGTGGTAACGGTGCAAAATAGTGAAACGGTGACATGTGGCTTTAAAGGCAGTAATGGTGGAAGAAACTTTCTAGATCTATTTATTTATATATATTTAGAACAAAAGGTCTTATTTGATTAACTAAGAATTTATAAAGACGCAAAACGGAGTTTCCAGTTTATATTATCGTTTGTTTTATGTGTTAGACAAAGAAGTTAAAAAAAGCAACATACGTTTTTAAAACTGTCTGAAATCATATACCATAATATACTGTTACAACAATCATTTAATAATTTTAATAATTAAGTAAATAAGTTAAAACAGAACAAAACAGAGTTATTCAATTTATACTATCGATAGAGTTCATGTAGTAGCAAAGAAGTTTTGAGAGAACAAATGTTTTTAAAACTGTTTTAAATATATTTTTCAAGTTAAAATGAAGTAACAATTAATATTATTATTTAAAATAATAACTGAATGATTTAATAATTCAGTTATTTAAAAAAAAGGCTTTAGTGCACAATGTGAGTCTAAACTGACATGTTATACGCCTGTCGCCAGTTTTTTCGCAAAAAAAAAATCATAACACTCCGTCCGACGGACCAGTTTTAAAAAATCGTGAAATTGTACACTTTTATCACACACACGTTTCGATTATCGGCGCAGTTTAAACGGTACAGTGCGATCGTAACGATTTCTCGTAGCGTGTGTGCCACCCATTAGGTTGAATTGGTGTTAATTTTAATGCTATTTTACACTTTATTGTATGTATTACAATATAATTTACACATTTTTAGAATAAATGTGATATAAATGAAAAATATTTTAATTTACAATGATCCATACCCGCAATTAATTTAAAATATTAAATGTCTGTGTTAATATGAAAGATGAGATTGACAATTATCTTAACAACATGAGGCTATAAATCTTTATATATATATATATATATATATATATATATATATCGTCTTTCCGTGTGTACCTGACTGAACTCCTCTTAGCCTCCCACACGACTGGACTGATTTTGATGAAATTTTGTGTGTGTGATTAAATTGATTCGAGAATTGTTTAGATTCACAATTACGTCATCGTGCGAAGCTGGAGCGAATCAGTAGTAATAATATATAACACGAATCTTTAGTAATGGCCTTTTAACTTCAGCCTTTTCAATAACGCACTAAATGAAACTTTATTGGAAAGATTTACTATGATTTTCTATTTACAATGATTTACAGGGAGGTTGAAATTTGGAGAAAAGTTAGTACGTTCACTTACACCCTTTTATTGAATAAAAAAGTTAAGTTGCAGCGTGTATACGTCATGTTGCTGGGCACAACGAACAATTTTAATTTCTGAACGGATATAATCTGCCGAGTTACTCCAGTCTATGTTGACGGATTGCATTTGTCCTTGAAATATTTTCATCAGACACGCAGGTTTCCTTATAGAGAGATAATCATTGGCGTCGGTTTCTCGCTTGTCGTGAAATATACGGCGAGCTCTTTTAGCGAATCTAGACCTACCACGGATTTTATGAATAATAATAATAAAAAGATCTTCAAAATATAAAAATAACATATAAACACCACATTAGTGTATGAAGAAAGATACCTCCACCGAAAGCCAGTAGCTTTGAATATTTAGTTAAAAGCTTACGGCCAATATTGCTCAACGGGGTTAACTTCGTTAAATCTTTTGATTTCTGGAGGCTCGTAATTATGGTTGTATTTTGGCTTGTAAACGCATTCGTACCTATGTCCTGTTGAATCTTCGTAAGTAAAGGCGCCTGCACCAGCAGAGTTATAAGGATCTGTAACAAAAAGTGAATCAAATTATCATCAGTTTTTGTGAGATTTTTATGGAATAAGGGTGACGAGCACGCAGCCCACCTGATGGGAAGTGGATGCTGTTGCCCAAGGACATCTACATCTATCCTCTATTAAGAATCAAAATTCAGGATGCGTTGCCATCCCCGAGGAAAGATAGAATACCAATGTGAAATAGTAGCCCTAGTTTAATGCTATCCTGTGATTCGTATGGAAAGTGTAGATAACTGGAAACCCTTTTCACTGGAAACGAGGCATTACAACTTATCCCTTAGGGGTAAAAATACATCTGCATTTCCCTACCATCAGGTGGACTGTGTGCTTGTTTCACACCCTTCTTCTATAAAAAAAACAGACTCCAGCTTAAACCTGAGACTAAAGCATCTTTAAAAATCTTTTAAAGATGCTTTAGTCTCAGGTTTGCATTGCGGCTCATTCAGTCCGTCAGTCTATATGCGATTCTTTAAATTATTTAATATCAATGTACCTATGCAAAAATTAAGTTACATGCGCATGAGTTTTTCTACTTAAACATTTACTTTACAAAAATAAACCAATGTAAAAGCCAAACAAACGTGATAAAACAGTTAATGTTGGAAATCATTAGGCGGCAAATAAAATCTCGCACGTTTTGAGTTCATCACGTTTAGTAAGAACGGGAAATACCAAATCACGTAACCACACCAATTATAATCATATTAGCTTGAAATGGTCTGTTGATATCATGTAATTATAATAAAAAAAGTGAGAAAATATATGTTTTTAAGCGTGTACAAATCTTTTTTTATGTAGATATGTTCACCGATTACGAGAAATCCGCCGAACCGATTTAATAGGTTCGTTTTTATTAAACAGGATTACCAACCAAAGGTTGAACAAGCAATACTTAGGACGACATCCTATCTGTTACTTCGAACTTGTAATATTACTTAGACTACTCAACAGAGTAAAAATCAAATTTTTATTAAAATATAAATTCGATTATATTCATGTTATTAAAATAATTTCCACGCAATAACTTCTGAAGTCGCATGACGTCTTCAAAACACTGATTTAAGAATATAGGTTATATGGAAATTTTCCATTTTTAATTCTTATTGAGAGTTAATTCTTTTTGTTTCATATGGTCGCTTTGCCTGCTAAAGTCAAAGTACAAAGTACTTTTCATTCAATTTCAAATTTATATAATTTAAGCTCTAATTTGTCAAATATTTATTTAGTGAAAAATTACAAATAGTGAATATGAAATACACATTTAACCCAGTGTACTTTAAAATCCCATTTGTCTTAACTAAACTAGTTACATAAATAGTAATAGTATTATGACATATAGGCACTTTCTTTTTTTTAATAATTGAAACTGAAAGCAAGTTTTTTTGTTCCTACTGAAAAGTTTGATTTTATTGTTTGTCGCATTTTGCAGGTGCAGTGACGATTATCAAATGCGGAGCCTATTAAAACTAAATTATAATATTATTCTTTCTCGTATCTACGTATCATTAATCTCTCATTATAATACACGCACACGCACACACATACATACACACATAAAATTTTAAATAGGAACATTAACCAGAAAACGAATACAATCATTAGAACCTTTTAAACCGTCTACGTTAATAAGGATTATACCCGACGTTATTTAAAAGTATTTTAAAAATAAAAAATAACAATCACATTTATCAAATTATTATTAACCAAACGGAATAAAAACCTGTTATGCTCAACGGAGCGATGCAAACTGTAATGGAAACAAAAGGACACAATAACTATTTATTGACGCGTGGTATGACTGTGACTAACGTAGCAAATTATATTTACGTTTTCGTGTCTTATTGAGTTTAATTGAAAATACTTCTGGAAAAATCCATAGCATTTAGATTCATAGTAGGTATTTGTAATTTAACAAATTACTTTTAGGGGTCCGTAGTTAGATAACAAGGAACCCTTGTAGTTTCGCCATGTCCGTTCGTCTGTCCACGCACAGTTTTATTCAGAGTAGGGTCTCTGATTAAAAAGGTGCTACGAAGTCGTAACTTGGTACAGTTATATTTATATTAATCACGCCTAAAAAATTGTGATATAAAATCTTGAAAAACCCTTTTTTTTGGGTACCTCCCGTACAGGTGATTTTTTTTTACCTATCCTATCCGATCCGGAACTATGATCATTTTTGTATGATTTTGACATGTGAATGATTTTATGTAGATTGTATTATTGTCAAAATAAATCCTTCAGGTCCCATTGTCTTATTTGGGTCCATTTTTAGTCGATATAGCGGTCAAACCGCGTACTCACTTAATATGCTTATTGTATTAAGAAGGCAAGTACGGAACCCTACCTTTACATTGTGTGTGGCCTGACACGCACTTGGCCCGTTTTTATTGTTTTAGAACTTGATGATTCAATTTTTTTTTGGTCTGTTATAATTTTTTTGTTTACTGTCGACAAGAGAACGAAACGAGCCGCGTATTTGTTTGCTTATCTTTATACAACGTGTTCCAAAACTCAACGTCAAGCGGTTACCCGAGGAGAAAGGGGGGGGGGGGGTGTCATACCAGCTCCGGGAAAAATTTAAAAAATACATATCAGTTAGTTTTTTTTTTACTGTATAGGGTGAAAAACGAGCACACAGTCCACCCGATGGCAAGTGGTTGCTGTGGCCCATTGACATCCATACCCATACTCGTACACGCGTTGTCACCCGTGAGGACTAAGATGGAATGCCTCTTTTCCAGTAAAAAGAGTCTCCGGTTTTCTACACTCATCATACGAAACACATCAGTGTTAAGCGCTACTTTACGCTGGTATTCTGTGAAAGCGTGGTTCCTCCTTGGTCGAGCCGACCCATTCGTGCCACAACTATACTACGAGTACTAAAACAGCTGCAGCACGGCTCTACCACGTATACACATAGAACTGACAAACTTATGAAAATGAGGAAATTTGATTCCTTAAATCATAAAATTAGGTATTGTGACGACAAATTTCTCAATTTTAGAGTGATATATTTTTACTATCGTGGTTTGAAATAAGCGTGCTATTATAATCGCAGTCACAAATCAAGCAATAAAAGGTTGCTAGGTTAAAATTAACGTAGTTTCGTTTAGTCGTAGTTGAAAACATAAGATCAGATACCTAATTATGAATCTTTATTAAAAAAAAAACATACTCTACTACCCTAGGCAAGTTACTTCAAAAGGTGGCCCATTTATCCTAGATTTCATAATGGTATAATACGTATCACTTTTTAGCCTTAAAAATGAAATAAATTTAATTTTCTGAAATAAGACCTAAATTAAACAGTTCCACAGCTACACCACAATACATTTCATCTATTAAATATTGAATTCAACAAGTGCAAATGAGATATTTTTGAATGAAACAGATGAAACTATTTCAGTGAGTTAGAGCGAGACATATAGAGATGCAATTTGATGTGATTGGGTGAAACAGAAGTTTGCTTTCGCGATTGTTTGTCTTTAATGGTCAATAGTCAGTACGGTACGCTACACTCCTTTGTTTATCGCGCATCTTTTGTTGCTCCCGTTTCTGAACTAAAGATTTTGGCTTTATGAAATTGGACTTGATTCTTGTTTGTTTTCTGACCTGGCTTTCTTCTGGACTTCTGATTATGACACCTGAATATTGTGTTTTGAAAACTCTGCAGCCATTAAAACCAGTGATTTCTGTTTTTTACGCTCAGTCCCCGGTTATGGAGGTTAGCGATATCCGCAGCACAGTTGTACCTCTGGCCGGCTGTAGACAGCTGGGAGCCCAATTAATGAGCAGCCACTCCGGCTCCAACATGGCAGTTGGACTGGAGGAGAGTGCCTGGTGTAGATTTCCAGGGGAGTTCAGGCGTCTCCGCAATTTCAATGCTAGGTACCATCGATGCTGTGATTCTGTTTGCGTCCCTAGATTATATGTATGACGCCTCGTCCAACTTCCATTCTTTCAACCTATTCACTCCACCAATAAAGGGAAAAAGAAGAGTAAGTCTTTACAGTGGTTGCACTCCTTCTCCTTCAAAGTACACCTCACAAACATCCGAGGCACTTACTCTTCTTGACGCAGACGCAAATCAGATGTCGTCTAGATGCGAGGTACCTTAGCTACCCTGGGTACTTATTGGAGTATAATTTCCATCAGCGCGCCGAAGTCTGTGTGTATGACATCTGCTGTAAGCAATTCTGTCACCTTGAAGACTCTACTTTCTCCACGATCTGGGTTTTAATAGACATAAAAATTTATAAAATTATATATTCTTGTATCTATCGATCGTACAGCGGCGACCAGGAGACAACTAGGCTATTTATAATATATAATACCTCACTGAAGCCTCTGATGTGACTCTAAGTTGGTACCCAACTGTACAGTTGGTTTTCCTGGGGGAGATTAATGCATGTCTTCAGGACTGGCTTCCCATAACAGAAGACTGACCACGCTAGGAGAGAGGCGTGGAATTTTGCCTTGTCGCTGGGGCTCTACTAGCTGGTACAACAAGCGTCTAGGGTACTCGATGTGAATGGCCACACAGCCAATTGCCTCCACCTTCTGCTGACGACCTATCCGGACAGGTGCGATGTTCAGGCTATCTCACCTTTGGGAACTTCTGACCGCTGTCTGGTGAAATCTGTGTTGTTACATTACCCACCTAACTACGATTTACAAGGTGTGCGGCGAATGTGGCGATACGCGTAAACAGATTGGGATGGGATGCGGTATTTTTTGCGTCTTTATCTTTGGCGACAGGTCTGTTTCTAGTCTGAAGATCCATCACGCTGCGCGGATGTCATTACCGATGTGACAAGTCAAGCGATGGAGTATTTCATCCTCTTTGCTGATGTGCCCATTGGTGGTAAATCTAACCCATGGTTCAACGTCGAGTGCGCTCAAGCTCAAGAAAAGCATAAGCATACGGCGTATTTATCCTGGATTTTAGCCATAAGAAGAGACCCATCAACCAAGCCGCCAGTCCTGC